GGACTCTGTTGTGCTTCTTGACGAGATGAGGCCCAAACAGCACATAATTATATATAGTAATATGTCATATGACCAAACTATTTCCCAGAAATGTTTGCTGCAAGCCTTGGATGACAATGAGAATATGCCAACAATCACTACAAAGTCAGTAAGAATGAATCTGGTTCTCAGGAGGCTTCAACCTTGGAGACTGCCAGGCAGTGTGGCACATGCATTCTGCCCTTTTAATCCTTTTCATTCAGAACTATTTCTTGAGTGCTGAATCTTTTCAATCCCATTCAGAATCACTTCTCTTGAGTGCTGAAGCCTCTGATCATATATCGATTTGTCCTTTGCAAGACTCACTTGTAGCCCATCTGAAGCAATAGAGACTTTCCTGAATCGTGCAGAAAGGAGACACGGCTTGACAGGACTGGCCGCCGTGTTCCTCGTTAGCAACCTGTACGTTGCTAATTTTGCATGAGCCTCAGATGACAAAGCTGGCTGGAAGACGTTACCTGACACTTTTCATGGTCGGCGTCAAGACCCTGAGGGTGAAAGAAGGTTGAGTGCTGCTGCTGCTGCTGCTGCTGCTGGTGACTTGATTCATGGAGTTCCACATTGGTGCGGGAGCGAAGTTGAATGACCCAAAGCAGGTCAAAGGGTGCCGAACAGTTGTTGGCTGCGAAGCTTTGCGAAGCTTCGAAGGCTAGTGTTTGCTCATGTTGCTGGTGCCACGCGAGAGCAGTGGGGGCCTGGTGGGCTATTTTGCATACCCCTTTTTTGAATGGGGAGGACATGCTGAGGGAATTTGAGTTCTGTAGTGGACCTTGTATGCTTTCACCATGCAGCTGGAGGTGTCCTTTTATGAAGGAGGCCCTTGCAACCAAAGATTGAAGGAAGGTGCAGTTACGTGCTCCTCCCCGGCGTCGGACTCTCCACAACTGGTTGGATGCAATGTTCACGTAAGGTTGGCGTCTACCAGACGGCCCGGCAGCCAACGGTGTCCCGAAGCGTGCGGGCTGGAGCCGCAGATCCATTTTTGGAAAACATGTGGCAGAGAGAGAGGGTGCAAACTTAATTGACCAAAACTCTTTTGAGAATTAGGAGATGCAACCAACACTAGAGGTAAGGAGTTCCTTGTTCTCATAAAGCCTTCAGAACCTGCAGGTTTAAGCTTGATGATAAGGCCACCGGCAAAACTCGCTTACCTCCAGATGTCCTGGGCCCAGATGGGCTGCAGATGATTGTTCATTCCAAGGCCAATGCACTGGTTCCAGATGTCCAGTTCCATCCGGTTCGTTCAGATCATCTGAGGCGGCATTAGAATTGGACAGTGTGTGGCGGATAGACCCCAAGGACTGCAGATGAGCGTGCTGTGCAGCCTGCGACATGCGACAGCGCCTGCGACAGCGCCTGACATGCCATGTCCCTCGCACACCGCTGGTAGGACTTCAAGACTGGCTGGGATTCAGAGCAGGGAAAGTGGATAGACCTGCCCAAGAACATGATCAAGGCCAGATGTGTCATTTTTTGCGCACTTGGCACCTTTCTGGTTTTTCATGGCTACCACTGTCAAGCTTTGGCGGTTGATTTGTAGCACGAAATAAGCAACGTATATAGCCAGAATCAGTTCTTGATTCATTAGAATATATATATATAGTTATACTTATATATATATAAATATATTCGTGTTGATTCGACTGTTGACCTGCCAGAAATGGTGGCGGCAGCCTGGATATTTGACGCCCTTTGGCTATCGAAATCCTCCTATGTGGAGTAAGAAGGAGCATCAGACGCATTTCGCAATAGATTGTTGGTTGACAGTGCCTTTGCACAGAGTGCATCGCACAGGACTATGCCCTTGCATGCCGGATCCCTGGTAGATTAAAGATCCTGTGTAGGTTGCCGCGCCGGCAGTCGTTCGTGAAACTTCAGGAGGTAGATAACTGACATAGAATAGTTGATCAGCGCCACCTGTTGGAATCACGGTGAGGTTTGTTGTGCAAGATGCAGGTTATCATTTGATGACCGAGGCACTGAGATGAAAATGGCTGCAATTGAGGCAAATATGATTAAGGCCAGAAGTGACTTCTGAATTTTCTTTTCTCACATCCCCAGCCACCCCAAAGCCAGGGACCAAAGGCTGTGAGCCTTTGGACTGAGACAGTGGACAGGATCTGAAGGAGAAGGGCTGGACCATCGAGCAGATTCGAGGAAGAGCCAGTTCGACCCTTACGCCGCTCAATGGGTGTCGCTCAATCGGTTTTGAGCTGCTGCCTTGTAACCGTAAGGGCAGTAACACTGGAAGACTACTAGATAGTAGAAGTCGGTGCTTTCAGCGTTCTGCTTGTGCTTTAGCGTTTTACAAGCGTATGATCGGGCTGCCCCCCTATTACGGAGACCCGCGATAAGAGCACATCACAAAGCAAGGAAGAACTGTAGGTGTGACTCTCACCGGCAGGGTCAAGGAACAGGTAGATAGATGCAGAGAACAAGAAGCTACTAGGGGCTCCTGGCATCGCTACTAGGAGCAAGGACGCTACTAGGGGCTCCTGGCCATACTACTAGGAACAAGAAGCTAGTAGAAACAATATATAGAATATTAAGTAATTAATTAGAATCCAATTAGAATTAGTAGCAAAGAAGGGGTCAAGGAACAGGTGGGTAGATAGATGCAGAGAAGATGAGATTGTGCTCAGGGGTTGCACATGTTATGACCTCTGCTACTGTATTTCATTTGCTGGTTTGCTGCTGGTGCTGCTGATGTTTGCTGGTCTTTTGCTGCTGGTTTTGCTGGCTTTGCTGCTGGTTTGCCGCGGTTTTGCTGTCTTGCTGCTTGCTGCTGCTGCTGCTGCTGATCTTCTGCTGCTGGTTTGGCTAACTTGCTGCTGGTCTACGGCTGCCCTGCTGATGTGCTAGGTGGGAACACTCGGTCCATGCAATGTCATATCCTGGCATGAACAAGTCTCACCTTTCACACGGCTGCCCATACACCATTAGCATTGGGAATCAAAAACATTCACAAGACAACAGTGCACCTTGCACAGTTCTAGATGTTATTTGCCATGTGACAGGTTTTCTGATGTGAACACCACCCAAAGCCACAACATGTGTGTGATGCCTGGAAATGAGGTGCCTTCGAGTTCATTGAACATGACAAGCTGCCCAAACTGACTCCGAAGCTGACCTTCCTTCTGCAGGTCACGGCCAGAGAGATGGATGCTAACTGTACTGTGAACCTGTGCGAACATGTGCTCACATGACGTATGCACCGTCACGTCATACATACAGCTTCCAGCTTCAAGTCCACGATGTCTTCGGGCCTGATTTGATCAAGACATACTGCTCTTTGAGCGTTTGCAAAGTAATCGTAGTAGACTAGGGTTTTAGTTTGAGCCTAGTTTTGGAACTGTTCTGGGGAGGCTAGTCAATGTTTTTGAGATGTTCAAACCCTTCGTCAAGCCACCTTTTCACAATTAGTTCACAAGAGCTTTGTCCAAGAATTTGGGTTCGGATGTTTTGAAGGGTAAATAGGCTGGACTGTTCTTGTTTGCATTGTTCTGCGCAGAATGCTTGAAGCAAGGTCAAGGCACTGTGGGAAGGGAAGGATCCAAGGAATGACGAGCTTCTGGACTTGGGGGAGGCACGCCGTGCTCGGTGTCGCACATAGGCAGCGTCACGAGACATCGCGCCACGTCAACGATGTTTGAGACGTTCCATGTCCATGGAACCGCATGGTCATGTTCGAGAAGCGCTGCGATCCATGGTTGACAGACGGGAGTTGGAAGACAGATTACTTGTGCCAAGCAGTTTCTGATATGTTTGCCTTCAGATCTACAAGAAAGACACAGGCAGAGACTTGCAGCTTGGCAGATCCGCAAGGGTGAAACAGAATCCGCAAAGGACCCACCACTCAGAACCCAACATGTGTTTTACATCATGACATGGACATATCCCCTAAGCTGCTGAACGATGTGCTTCGCATGTAAAGTCTAATATGCATTTGTCACTGACATTGCAGTATGATGCTGCGCATGATGGTGTATGTTGCAAGATGCCACCCCACCAAGGGATGATGAAGACTAGATTTTCCGCGCAAGCGCTACAAGCATGTCACGTTGAAGCCTAAGCCAGCGTGTTCTTCAGCCAAAGCTTACTGAGTATAGCAGAAACAAGTGGAGATTTCAAGCACACATGGAAAATAGATGAAAATACCATGTACACTCTATTGTAACTAGGACCTCAAGTTATCTACCCCTAAGACCTCATTTATGACTCCTCATGATTCCTTATGCAACCTTGTGTCCTTGGGGTCTCTCCCATTTCACCACGAGGTTAGATTGAGGTGGACCGCCTGGCTGGATACGACTTATAGTACAAGCGCCCTAGCTCAGGCATACAAGGACGCCTTGTGTTCTTGAGAAATGAAGAGTGTCGTGCAAAAAGTGAACAGTGACAGCTTTTTGACTAAAAGCCTTTGTAGCACCTTTCACTTCAAACCTGCTTCCTCGTCACAAGTTCCGTGGCACCATTTGGCGTCTATGCTGTCAGTAGCTTGATTTTCCTTTGGTTCTTCTGACATGTTCAACTGCATGATCGTCCCAAAGAACCGACCAAGTTGCTGTACAGAGCATACTTGACAAGCCATCGGAAACAGAACCACATTGTGCGCCGTGCGCCAAACTTGCTGGCCTGCATTTCGCATTGATTGCGCATATGTTTGAACCAGTGTTTGAACCTATGCGCTGCGTGACCTGCAGTTGAAGGGCTTTGGCGGGAGCTTGCAAAATTGTTGAAGCCGCTTCTGCTCACAGAAGGCACTAAGAGCTGGCTTTTTTGTCATAGCTTTGTACAGCACGACTCAGTTGGGCTTGAAATGAGCTGACAGTCAATTTCACAAGATGCCCAGTTCTGCATGCTAGAACAACTAGATAGCCAGCTTCTACATGTCGCTGTCATGATAGGTCTATGCTGCTCAATACGCCACAATGTGTAAAGAAAGCACTACTATGAAAAACTTCAATAGCACTCAGCCGTTTGGCTTGCCCAAGACGGACTCATGGACATCATTTCCGGAGCTGAACTCAGAGACACAAAACAGAGGTTCCTTGCATGGCGTAGTGTGACTACCTTTGCCTGGGGCATCCTGGGGCAACCACTTCATTCGCTTTCCAGCTCGATGGTCGCCAAGAAATGCAAACCATATAGAACATCGACGGTCAACTTCTGAGGTGGTGATTTGGCGTGGTTCGTTGCAACACTACTCCTGGGACTGCGACAGTCTCAGCCGGACCATGCCGGACCTATGCTTTGACTTGAGTTTGTTTTTTCTTTCCATGTATAGGTTTCCTAAGAGTGAGACGTATACTATCGTATACCGTATACTTGAGTTGACCGTACAAAACTGTTGCATGCCCATTTGCAGAATGTTTTTCCATGCTCCAGTTTCATCCACTTGCACCTCCCAGGATCATTCTCGCAGTCCTGTGGCCGTCTCTTTTCCAAAAGGAGGTGCCCAACATTGCGGGCTTGCTGGACTTGACCTGAGAAGGTATACTGTATCCTAAGCCCAGGAACACAGGTGTGATTGCATTGGGAAGAATTGCGCAATTTCACAATTTGAGTCGTTGCACTATTTGGGATCTCGATCCGTTTTTCTAGTGAGCAGATTGCACCACCAATATCCGTTGCCACTGCTATCAACTCTAGCATTTCCACATGGTTTATCGTGCCTATGCAAACTGCAGAGAAGGACTTCCGGAGACTCTTCCTATGGTCGTTCCGTGATGGAGCTTCTGGAAGTCATTCTTGATGTCCTATGCTCTTTCTATGCAGGGACGTGTTGCCATTTTATAGTGCTACTCGTGTGTGTCGGAGATGTGTTTTGAGGTCAGCCCCCCCTCAATTTTTGAAATGCTTTGTGAGGTCACTCCTCCTCATTTTATAGCCAGACCCCTTGTGCCGCGGCAATGCACACCATTTTATATCTATAAAATGGCTCCCTAGACCCCCACCCTGGTATCAGAACATCCATCTCTTCCAAGCTGCGAGGCCGCTGACCAAAGTGAGTCTTCCTGCGGAGATGCGATTGCATCACGTCAAGGCGAAGACAGAGCGAGATCTTCGAGGTCACGAAGCAAACAGCGGAGCCTGTTTTCAATCAGCTCCTGGCCGCAAGGTGAGAGAGAAAGGCCTCCAGCACCGGAACACACAGAGGCTCGGAAACCGCCAGCGTGGTGGCCCCTTGTAAGGATTGAGGCTCAGAAGCTTGGAATTCGAAAGACATTGGCACCTTTACGTCATGTTAAACAGCTTGGTCAGGCACCATCCGCGCAGCTGGCTGGGCGAGTCACCCAGATGCCCGTATGTGTGTTGTTGTGTTGAAGCCTTTTTAAGCATGCACTTCAAAGATAGCTATTTGCTGAAGAGCGCCCCCAGACTCCTACACGCAAATTCCGACATATATAACCCCGCACTGGGTTCCATTGATATACACAATGGCACTGGTTTTGTTGAGATCTTTTTTTTTGGCGAAGCACTTGATTTTGGTTGAACATTATTCTCACCACTAAGTGCATCAAGAGTTGGATTTGGTGTGTTTACTGTACAGTATGTTTATGCGTTTGTCCGACCGTTGCTGCGGGACGTGCGGAATTTTGGTTTTGTTTTCTCCTTGGCGGTTGCTATAGGTGAACTCAGATTTGATGCTGCCCAGTTTGAGATCAAGTCTGGAGGTGACAAGCTTGTGTGGCCCTCAAGTGCTGCTAGACCAGCCATGGCCATCATCTCGATGCTGTTGCTTGTTGTGCCTTTCGCTTGCGCCGAGTTAATCTCTCCAAACCAGCTCTCAGACAAGGGTGCACTTCCGGTGGATCTCATGGAAGAACGCCACGAGGAACGTCATGACAGCCACGAGAAAGATGAGGATAAGGAAGATGAGCACAAGGTGAAAGACAGCGACAAAGAGACTGAAAGCCCCAAGCATTGGTGGAGCAGCTTTTGGCCTTTCCAGTTGGATGCAGAACATGATGGCCATGAGGACCATGAGGAAAGGCATCACGAGAAACATGAAGTTGACGATGCCAAGAAGGACGATCACGAAACCAGCGGCCATTGGTGGGACCATTTGTGGCCTTTCCAGATGTCAAATCAAGGACAATAGATTGAAACAAGGTTGTCGCGCTGCTATGGCGACTGCGTGGTCATTGCCAGCATGCTGCTAATCTATTGGCATAGATGTTTGCGCAACGCAAACGATAGGGTATATGGTGATATCATACATGCCAGACATAAAACAATGTATCAACATGTTACTGATCGAGGTGTGGTCTACTGTCCCCCTTTACGGATTGTAGCCCATGCAGATGTCAGACTGCAGAATCCAATGCCAACAGTGATTCCTTAAGGCATTTCTCGACAGACCGAGAAGGGCAAGAGAGAGAGAGAGAGAGGGAGGTGAAAGACGACACTTAAGATCAGGCAAACTTAGGGACAGTGGGACGGACACCCTCAATCTCAGCTGACATCGGAAGGAGCAGACGTGAACTTCCTGGCGGAGGAAGACCCAAGGGCAGAAAGTCACGAAGAGCACCATTCCAAGATGCACGTCGCTCACGAGCATTGGTGGGATCACTTGTGGCCCTTCATGATGCTGGCCGCCGTGTTCCTTGGGCTTGCTTTGCTAATGACTCGCACAGATATGTGATACTGTATCTTATGATAATTTTACAGGCCAGGCCAAGATAGGAAAATATGGCTGGAACCGCCTCGTGCACGATGGAAACGCCTTGTGAGGAGATCGAGTTAGCATGACTCAGGTTTCCTGCCATGGGTGCTATCCTCTTCAAGCGGGTGCAGTCCACCTGGCTGCGGCAGCCACTGTTGCAAGAGCCGCAAAGTGAGGTCTAAGGACTTCACCAGCCTCACGGTCAAGTGCTGCTTGCTTCGGAGAGCTTTTTTTTTGTGGTGCCAGTGGACTCGTGAAGTTTCTAATAGCTTCTTCTTGTTACTACTAGTAAGGCACTTGTTACTAGAAGCGATGCACTTGTTCCTAGTAGCTTATTGTTCCTAGTAGCTTATTGTTTCCTTCTATATAAGTTGGATTATTGTCCGGTGTTTGTTTTATATAGTGATTTTAGTGTGTTCCACGTGCTTGACATAGCTGTGGGTCGTCGAGAAACGTCACAACAAGTATCACAACACGTCACGGATAATCAATAGCTTCAATAGATATGCTCACGCTGGATTAATGCGATCCATGAACAGTCAGGAAGGCTTTGCCCTGATTTGATGGCAACTTTAAGCACAGCTCACTGACCTGGTGAACGATCGAATTTGGTGCAGTCGGGATGTTCCCCACTATGTAATGGACATCAAGATGTTGCCAGCGTAAACTGACCTGTTTGTATTTGTATTTCATTTGCTTGTGCCAAGTTCTTGCGAGTTGTTATTTTGGTGTTGGTACTTGGGGGACATCCAGGGTCTGAAACACGGCCTGATTCCAGAGGGTGGAGAGCTGAGCAGCACAAGCGACACATTCTTCTCAGCTCTTGGTCCTCGATTTTACGTCTTTTGGCCTCTACGGAGTGGAATGCCGGTGTGGATCATGGGCCAGCTGGCAGGCTATGCAGGGCTTCAAGCTGAGCTTGGACATGCGATCGCGATCGAAAAATGCGGACTCGTAGTCTCATGTGCTGATCAACCTCATTGGCTGTTGATGGTTTTTGTTCTGTTTTCTTATGCTTTTCACTGGACAGTCTTTTGCTGGTGGTAGTTTCTCAGGCCTTGCAACGAGCCAAAGAGTGTCCCACTAGGAATCTTGGAGAGCAATTATCCAAAAGGAAATACAGCAAATAAAGTTTACGAGGTTGTCCAACATGTCACCATGTTTGTGTGCTCATCGGCATCAAGCATGCCAGTTCACACTTTGCTTGCTGCTTCTCATCCCAAAATACAAGACAAGAACAATGCAATGAAGGTTTGACCATGTTTGAGCATTGCATAGGTCCAAAGAATTTGTATTAGTACAGTAACAAGGGCATTGCTACTAGTGACAAGGGCATCGCTACTAGTAACAAGGGCATTACTACTAGTAGCAAGAAGCCAGGAGTAACAGGGCATCGCTACTAGTAACAAGAAGCTACTAGTAGCAAGGGCGTCGCATTGTTTTCTCAATGTCTGCTAATTTTCTGGTTGTTCCGCTGAGGCCCACCTTTGTGCAGAGACCATCAGCTGTGGCTTTTGCGCCTTCAAGCAGTTCAACGCTTCATGCCATGGCCTTCGCACAGTCAACAGGTTCAACGGTCCAGTCATATCCAATTCACTCATCCCACCCCAAGAAAACAGTCCAAGAGTTTCTTCGATGTTTTTCTCGCCATGTTTGTTAAACCTTTTGACAAGGTTGCTTTGTACAGCCCCTGCGGTCAGGGCTTGAGGTTGTGATCTACTATGCACTTAGTCACTAAGGTCAGAAGCCAACGACTGCAATGAGCGTGACAAGATCAAGCGACATATATGGCGCTGTTTGGATGCCCCGGGCATAGTAGCAAACACTGCACAGGTTTCTTGCCATGTGCACATGACCCTGGATCCCACTCCAACTATCTTTGGCCTGCTTGCCACTTAGTGCTCTAGAGTCTCATCATGCATGATCGTCAGACATTGGAAAGCAGGGCTTTGGACTTGCGAACAGAACAAATCTTACCCTGCTAGATCAGCAGTGCTAGATTGCTTGCTGTCGCTGAATGGTGCAGGGCTGATCAGCTAGCACACACAGCACAGCCTGGCCAGTGTCAACGGACATGCCTCATGCTCGTTTAGACCAGTCTAGTAGCATCATCATCCTCCGTCTTGCTTCTCATCGCCGCATGAGCGATGCAACCCCCAACCGCGCTCGTCCTGCGTGCAATGGTTCACGCTCGTCCTGGTGACAATGAATCGACAGGAGCTGGTGAAGGAACTGGATGCCTTGCAAGACAAGTTCAAGATCCAGCAAAAGTATCCATTCTGCACAGTTCCTTCGGGTCCTGACTTGTCCTGACTTGAAAGCTGGAACAGTCAAGGGTGTCAAATCTAGAATCTAAAGATATTTATATAAGGATAGTTATAGTACATATATATAGTATTTTTACTTGTATTTATTACATACATACAGTACACAACATAAATAGAATATATGGAAGTATATATGTATATATATATACATATGAATCTAGAATCGAAGAACTCCAGCAAGGGTGAGACTTCAAAGCATAACTCCAGAGGTCCAAGTTGGCCGCTGGTTTTGTCCAAACAGGTACGGCAGGTCTGTACAGCCAGACTCTGGTCTTCCAAATGGCCCTGCAGCTCTACGTGCAGCAGAGGAGCACTGCGTTTGTCAGAAGTGTTTATGAGAGTATGTGCCTAATGTCGCGTTGCCATCATGGCCATCATGCCCAAACAAGCACGTGACAGATGAGTTTAGATGGTTTTAGAATGTTTTAGATGAGTGTTTAATAATGTGTGCGCGCTTATGTTCATGTGTTTTTTGGTGTGTTTCGATGCATGCTACTGACGTACTACACCCCTTTGCTCCCGTCTTGTGCTATGCGAAGTGCCACATGACACATAGGAGCGCCTGGCGGCTCGACTGCCAGCCTCACGTGCCGAGCGTGCACTGGAAGAGATCACCCATGGTCAAGCCATGTGGCAAAAGTTCCAGGACGTGCTCTGAGGGGTGACAGAGGATGAAGATACTAGTAGAGCAAAGAGAGCCCTGGACCGACCCAATATGTATGTGACTGCGACTGCTGAAGAAGTGGAGTCCAATCACCCTTGGAGGACCTAGCCAAAATCCTTAGAACATGACACCAAGGAATGCATTTTAAGCATAACAGCTCAATGGAAGTGTAACCATGGCATCGGTCAAAGACGGGCGTCGTCACAGAGGATGGTGGCCAGGCACACCTCTGTGGACGGAAGGCGGATGGAAAGCATGCAGATTGAGGCCAAGACCGACCCCATAATTAGATACAATTAGTAGGTTTGGCAATTAGATGGCCAACATAACTTAACTCTGTACGAACCACAATGACACACAGACATCGAAATATCCAAATGCTTTGCCAGCAACCACGGTTGTGGCCTGGGCGGTTTTGAGCCGAAGTAATTAGTCCCAGGCCCAAGTCCCTACATAAATAATCATAAATAAAAAGTAAATACGTTCGTTTTGGTGTTGGACGTCACTGACCACACGAGCATGATCTTGGAACCAGACTGTTTTTCATAACATATATATGGAGTATTTGTTTATATAATTATTCCAGGGGTCCTGTGGGTTCATGGAATATTGTTGTCAAAATAAATTATTGGAATAATAAACTTAGGCAGGGGTAGGTCAAGGGTCCCTTGGAATAATGTTCAACAAAACCATGTCGAGGGGGGGGGCAGAATAATTTCCAAAATTTTCCTGGGGGGGTTGAGAGGGGGGCCTACTAAATAATTGGTTTTCATTCGTGAAGCATGTCGAGACAAGCAGATGAAGTAGTTCTAGGGACAAGGTTCTACTCACAAGCCACTTTGGTACCTGCAGGACTGTTATCCTGGGACTTCTCTCCGTAAAATCCAAGTCAAAGACTTCTCTCCATAAATAGGCACGTCACGAGCCAAGCGTGTAACGACGCGTGAATGTTCCAGGAGCAAGCTGAAGCGGATGAAAAGAGCCGAGAGCTTCATGGCCCCAACGGAGTTGCACAGCGCAAGGAGCTGTACCCCCCTTGGACGACCCTCTCACCCTGGCTGAATAGATTGGTCGATTTCCCGGATTTCCCCAAACATCCAACCGGGTCGTTGCCTGGGAGGTCTCCCTGGGAGGTCTCCCTGCCTGGGAGGTCTCCTGGGAGGTCTCCCTGGGAGGTCTCCGCCGGTTCAGACACGTTTCTCCCTGGTTTCGCTCGCGCGGATCGTGGGACGCAATGTTTGCCACACACGTGTTGTGAATTCTAGACCATTGAGGCACAATCACAGAGGGAGCAACTGGTCCATGTCGACGCTTGATCAATAAACATTCAATATGAAGAGGTTGTTCAATCCGAATGGGTGAGGCCGTCAAATCAAGAGTCTACGTTACTGCAAATTACACCCCGGCAGGATGGGCTGGATATGTCCTTGCAGCAACTGATGAGTGACGCCTCACGCATGCGCTCGCAGCTCAATGAGATTGGAAGCTTGACTGCGCATGGGCACTTAGTGCTGTTGATTTTGGCAAGACGAACGAAAGAACGGCTGCACGTATTTTCAGATGTCCAGGAGGGTCTTTGCGTAAAAAAGCAAATGTAACATGACTCAGAAAATTTTGAATATGACGACCTGGCGTAGGCTGCACGAACACAATATATAATTAGTTTCTCTGACTCTTACTTGCGTGCCTTTGTGCTGGAGCGAGCGAGTGAGCATGGGTGAGCATTTGTTGTCTGAGTCTATGTTCCTTCTCCGGACATGTCCCACGACTGGGGGAGTTTGCCAAGTGAATCTTGAATGGAGTTTGTTGTGAATCACAGACCAGCTAGAGACACTCACTATCACTCACTCGGCTGGAGGATTGCAACTCGGTCGTGGCGGCCGTGAGAAAGCCCTAGAGCACCTGAAACATGCTGTGCCACGAGATTTGCGAGAGGAGTTCCGAGAACAGCAAAAGGCCGACGAAGCCAACCACAAAGAAGCACACAACTGATAATTTGTGATATGTGGGGACTTTTCCTTGGCCACTCATACCTTTTTGCTATAAGCTCCTTTATTGTGATGAGTGTGGGTTTGTGTTTTCATTTGTGTTGTTTATTGTGAGTCGACCTGACCGTCATCTCGGCACGGCCTTCTGATAAACAACTATAGTAAGGCTATAAGGTAATAAGGGATTGTTCCACTTGAAGGGCATGTGAGACGTCAAAAGGCAAACATAATGTTTATTATTCACAGGACTTGTAATTACCTTTGAACATTTAAAGGCGCGATTTGGAAAACTCAAAACCTGTTGCCAATAATGTGTTTCAGTTCAACTAGGACACCCCTCCATCGGAGATCTTGTGAGGATTTGCTTTGCCCAGCTTTGCCCTTCCGGTAGGTGCTACTCGAACAAAAGCGGGTTTTGGACCAGCTTCGCCACGAGCGGCTGGCGGCTGAAGGGGACCAGCAGCACAGCCTGCATTTGACACATCTACTAGTAACAAAGGGGATTGCTAGTAGCAAGAAGCTACTAGTAGCGATGCACTTGTTCCTAGTAGCGATGCCCGTGTTACTAGTAATTAGACAATATTGAGGAATGAGGGCGACCACACAGGTCACATCAGATCTCGCCATGTTTTTTCACGACTTGAGGTACTGGCTGCATCGCAAGAACCGGCTTGATCATGCAGACAATGTGGTGGGCAAGCCAGGTCGGATTCCAAGGGCTGGAAGTTTTCACCACGCTGACTTGCTGCCAAGCCCCTTGTAGGTGTTGACCCAGCTGTGCCTCCTGAAGAACTCTTGGAAGCTCATCAGAGAATGCGCGCGAATCCTATGGACGAGCGGATGTACGGCTGGAGCGATCCTCAAGTGGCTGTTCCTCCTCAGGATGGCTATGAAGCTTGACAGCATGCAGCAAAATGGTGATAAATGCAAAACACATCAAAGCTGTTGGGTGCCTTTGTTCTGTGGTCACCGGTCATGGCAGCAGGTGAGTGCGGAGATCCTGCAAGTCTCACGCCGACAACAACCTGGAACCGTGGCGGAGCTTTGCATCATTGACAAGGTCCCATCCAACAATGAGCCTAAAGTTGCTACTGTTTAATCATGAGCGCCTTGGGGAATGGTATCCAACCGAACCCCACTCATTTCCCAGAACGCTGCCAGAAATAAGAATGCTTGTCACTGCTGGTTCCATACTCCTTCAATCAGTTGAACACAGATGGCTCAAATCACATCAACTCCCAGGCATACAGTTTACAGGTAGGTATAGATAGATAGGTATGTAGATATAGACACATAGATAGATAGATAGATAGATAGGTAGATGGATAGATAGATAATTTTGAATGTCTCACGTGCATTAGTGGCATGGCAATGCTCTATTGTACAACTTCTCGATGGCTGCTTTGTTGGAAGGCCGGCGTGACACTGGCAAGAAGCATTGCTGACTTTCCAGATGAAGTTGGAGAGCGCTGCATGATGACGGTTGCAATTCCGGAGTCAATTGCCACTTGGATAGCGTGAACTTGGGATGAAGCCGATAGCGCAATCAAACTCTTTCAGTCAATCAGGAGTTGCACAAAGCACCACAAAGATCACAAAGTACAAACAAGTGCATGTTGAAATGCAATGAAATGCCTAGATGTCTCTTTTCAATGCCAATTGTGCAGGGTTTGAAGTGGTTGAAAGCCTCACACATCGCCGAGGCAGCAGGAAGCGCAACTGCAGAAGTGTCCCTCCTGGGTCCTAGCTGGCAAAACAGCTTGAGAATCACAGTGTCGGAACTTTCAGCGGGCGGTCGCCCTGAAGAATATTCCATGGATGGTG